ACCTCGCTATCAACGGATTCCATCGCCGTCGTACCACTACTGGACGTCTTCGCCTGGAACCTACTCCGTGCAGCACGCTCAACCATCTAATTACTACTGTATTTTGATTCCTTTTAGAAATAAAAATCTACCTATCAACCGCTTCAGCCAGAGAGTACACAAGTAGCCCCTAGTCGCTTACAAACGAGCCGAGTTTCTACTCTTTGGCTTTACAAGGCTCCTTTGTGAACCACTACCGCATAGAACGTGCCCTTGAAAGACGTATATCCGGGTCACACATATTATCGGGCACACGAGAGCATAAGAATGAAGAAATCCGAAAAATGCACCTGCGACCCTTTGTTGACCTTAATACACTCTATTTCAGGTCTCTGGAGTGCTCCGGGACCAAGCTACAAATTTTTGAAATGGGCCCCTAGAGTTAACAGCAAGCACCGTCCACTGGCCTACGTCTCAACACCTCTCAGGCATGTCAAACTCTCGCTCCAGTGTTGCCCTCCTACATCGACTTTTTTGCGGCTTCTAAACTCTCTCTGGAACCAAGTTAATGAATTTCGTGGGAAGCACTACCCATCTCAGGTACGCCTCTCCCTTTTTGCCTTATTACTCTAACAACCTTATCTCGCTAACCTTATTCTACTTTCCCCCGTCTCTGGGCCGATCTGGAAGCGAGTTATGAGTTTTTGTGTGGCACCACCAACTTTTGGCGCATGCCCCACTCACTGTGAGTGGGGGCTCACCAGGGCAGGTCGCGTAGGCCTTGTATGCCCGTGTCCTACGCCCTACCCATCCCCACCTTGACCCGACCTCTCCAAGTCGTTCTTCAGGTCGAACCGAATTTCCGGACAGACAAACAAACTTACAAACAAACAAACAAACAAACACAAACAAACTATTCTAACTAACCAGCTCCTTCATCCAGCACTTTCACGACCCGCAACTCCCTCAAGCTGAGTTCACAGGTACACCCAACCTCACTTCGTCATCAAAACTGTAGACTCCTCGCTTTGGACCAATCTTCACTTCGTCATCAAAACTGTAGGCTCTCGCTTTGAAGCATTAGCGTCGTGGAAGGTTGTCCGATAATTGAGGAGCATCGTCCTTATTCAGCTCCATTATTTTGGCATCTGCAGCTATCATGCTGGCGTCAGGGTGGTGGAAGAAAGAGTTTGAGGAAGCGCTTGGAGGGGTTCAAGAGAAAGGGGTTCAAGAGAAAGAGCCGCAAAGTTCAAGAAGCGAAGCCCCAAGACCGTCATCAACTGGGATCACTTCACTTCTCTCGCTGGGCTCTGGGAGGATTCCATCGACAACATCGACGAGGAATACGAACGGCTTGTCGCACACCTTCACGACTGCGCCAAGAAGTCAGAGAGTTCCAAGATTACCAAGAAGCGTCTATCTCTGGAAACTCTCGAGCTGATTCGCCAACGTGGAGCCGCACGAGCCGCAGGCAATTACCAGCTGACGTCTGAGCTTGCTATGCAGAGAAGCGATAAAGGAAGACCTCAAGGAGAGAAGAGCAGCAGTACTGGTGGAAGCCGCAGAGGCGGGGAAGAGCATCCGCAAAAACCCGCCGCGACTTCGCCAACTGCAAGACCAAGATGACCGCCCTCCGACGTCCGGATGGAACAATCACCGCATCCAGAAGGGCAATGGAGAAGGTCATCCACGACTTCTACTCGGATCTCTTTGACAGCCACGTCCATCTGCCACCATACCGCTTGGAGCAGGATGGATACGTCGTTCCTGCAGTTCTCCCTTCCGAAGTCCGACACGCCATCTCGTCGGTGAAGAATCGTACGGCACCCGGTCCCGACAGGATCAGACCCGAACATCTGAAGAATCTTCCGCCAGTTGTCAAAACTCTGGCTCGACTCTTCACGCGCTACCTGTCGGAATGCAAGGTACCCACCTCGTGGAAAACCAGCAAGACTGTGTTGCTGCAAGAAGGGAGACCTGTACGACATTGGCAATTATCGCCCAATCTGCCTGCTGTCTGTAGTCTACAAACTCTTCACACGAGTCATCCTGAACAGGATTGGCAGAACACTAGACGAAGGACAGCCATGCGAGCAAGCAGGGTTTCGAAGAGGATTCAGCACGATCGATCACATCCACACGGTAACGAAGCTCATCGAAGTATCGCGAGAGTACAAGATGCCGCTATGTCTCACGTTCATCGACTTGAAGAAAGCCTTCCGTTGAGACAGAAGCGGTTATCGAAGCCCTGGGCAACCAGGGTATTCCTACTCAGTACATCAGGATTCTTCGTGAGCTCTACAGCAACTTCACGACCAAGATTTCACCATTCTACAAGGAGATCATCATTGATGTGAAGAGAGGGGTCCGACAGGGCGACACCATCTCGCCCAAGCTCTTCAGCGCCTCTCTCGAGAACGTCATGCGTCAACTGGAATGGGAAGACATGGGAGTGAAGATCGACGGTCGGCAACTACACCATCTCCGCTTTGCTGACGACATCGTTTTGATAACACCAAACGAGCAAGCGGAACGAATGCTGGCTGAATTCGACTGCGCGTGTGGAAAAATCGGTCTACGGCTGAATCTAACGAAGACGATGTTCATGAAAAACGGATTGGTTTCTGATGCCCCATTCACGCTCAACGGAACGACCATCTCTGAATGCTCTAGCTATGTGTACCTGGGTCGTGAAATCAATATGATGAATGACTTAGCACCAGAGCTGAGCAGGAGGAAGCGAGCGGCTTGGGGAGCCTTCAAGAACATCGAGGGAGTAGCGAAGAAGACGAAGAACACCAAGCTCCGTGCCCACCTCTTCGATTCCGTCCTTCCTGCCTTGACGTACGCCTCAGAGACTTGGACTCTACGAAAGCAGGATGAGCATGCGGTTGGCGTTATTCAACGCGCCATCGAAAGGGCGATGCTCGGAGTTTCCCGCTACACGCAAGTGAGAGAGGGAATCCGGAGCTCCGCACTCCGCCAACGATCGAAGATCAGAGACGCCGCCGCATTTGCCAAGGTTTCGAAGATCAGGTGGGCCGGACACGTCATGCGTTTCGAGGACGACCGCTGGACCAGAGCGATCACCGACTGGATTCCACGGGATGTCAAGCGAACGCCTGGACGACCGCCTATGCGATGGTCAGACTTCTTCGTGAAAGCTCTGAACGAATGGAAGTTCATCGTGTCCCTCGAGCTGAGAGAGTTCATTGGGCAACTCTTGCACGTTGCAGGGACGAATGGAGACGTTACTGGCGCCCGCTCGAGGAACTCGATGATCAACGGGAGCACAGGTGATACAGGTGATCAACGCGAAAATAGTATTCTTATGAAGACTAGTGCTAGCTCGTTCTCTTTACTAGATAGGAATTTTCTCAAATGATGATCAAGCTCACGGCGCACTTCTTTTGAACTGAGGACTTGACAAGAGGTCACCAGGTGTACCACAAAAAAGTTATGCTTCCTAAGCTAGTGAATTACCAGTATGTTTCAGGATATTTCTTTGTGGCACATTCATGGAATCAAGGGGTACATATTCAGCTAGTCCTGCGTAGATAGTACGCCAAAATCTCTTGTACATGTCATCATAAGAAGTGCAAATCGAGAACGCTAAAAAAGCAGTTTCCTAATGAGATCACACACTGTATTGCAGAAAATCATAAGAAAGCAAACACCCCAGGAAGGTTTAAATTACACCGACAAGGCTGAAATAAAGAAAACTGAGAGCTGTCAGAGGTCCCCACTGTGATACTTCAGAAGTATTTGCGTGAAATTCATCCCTGAATGTTATGTTCCAACCTACGTAGAAAACTGCAAACAACCTAACATGCAGAACCGCTACCTACCATTACGCCGCTTACCAGTAAACATTACCAGTTGAGGCAGAGCATTTAATCACGTTTTCTTTTGAGTGATCGTAACGCGTTCAGCGCAGGGGCTGTATAGCTTGGTAAAGTAATGGTGGAGATACCACTGTGTCACACGGGGGAGGGCGATAAATGGGTAGATGAGCTCTAGGTGAGTATCCCACGTGAGTGGTTACGTCAGCTCACAAGGAAAGGATGGTTGGTCGAAGTGGCCATTCGAAATGAGACGTATACTGCCCGATGGGCCCTTGGACGCTGATTACAAATCTGCCCTCCATATCTGCTAAACGATTTCCTGGACAAAGTTATGCAGGATTTTTGACCAGGTCACACCCACGCATTCTAGAGGGGCAGGGTGTGCAGGAACCTGCAACGTCCTTGGCAAGCGTTTTTACGCCGAACGAGTGTGATTCTGGGGCTCAAATTAGCCCTAGAGACAAGTTTTCAACCAAATTTGAGATTTCGACCTATTTTCGATACAGTGGGGTAACCATAGGCAGCCAATTCCTAAAGGTTGCTGGCACTATCGCCGATTCAAATCTCTGTGAGCAGTGGAGGTTCCTCGCTAAATCTTAGTCCTTGTTGGTTACTGACGGTCCTGATAACAACCACGACATCCACTTTTGGCTTCCATGCCATCTGGAATCAGTTTGGCCTCACAACACGACGGAACGAATAATGCCGCCGAAACCAACAATCAGGAGTTCCCACTAGGAGTGTTCCAGAATGGCTCTATCACATCAGAAATAAAATTTTTTGGTAGAATCAGGTCTCCTAGCCTCGCAGAAGTGCTTTCCGGATGTGCAGGAGGCATTTTTGAGAAAATGCAAAATGGCGAATCATGGAGGGATTCGAACCTCTCACCTCGCATACTTGAGCGCGGCACACTACCCAGGCCACCGATGCACTTCGTGTGACGACTCACGTCTCATTTGTGTACCAAGCTCAATTGTGCTCCGTACAACAACCTCCTGCATATCTCTGCTCAGAGAATCGTTTAGCAGATATGGAAAGCAGATTTGAAATCAGCGTCCGAAGACGCATCAGTGTGTATGCATCTTGTCTTAAATGGCCACTTCGACCAACCATCCTTTCCTTGTCAGATTTTTCTCCATGAACGCTGATCCAGAACGGAAAGCGGCAGTGAAAAAGTTAGGGATAGCACGACATCAGTAAAAGTTTACCCACCATGGGTGTCAGTTTCTCCATATCAGCAAGACGGCGAAGATTGTACATCCTAGTATGGTCATTGCGATCCTCTTCAGCCACCATGATTTTCGCAATCTTCGATTCGAATTCAATTACCTCGTCTACATCCTTCACAATCTTCGAATCGTTACTTAGAAGTTGGGCGTATACCTTGATGATTTTGATTATTGCAATCCTCTCCAGCCACCATGATTTTCGCAATCTTCGATTCGAATTCAAGTTACCTCGTATACATCCTTCACAATCTTCGAATCGTTACTTAGAAGTTGGGCGTATACCTTGATGATTTTGATTATTGCAATCCTCTCCAGCCACCATGATTTTCGCAATCTTCGATTCGAATTCAATTACCTCGTCTACATCCTTCACAATCTTCGAATTCGTTACTTGGAAGATGGGCGTATTCCTTGATGAGTTTGACCTGAGACAGTCTCTACCATGTTGTAAATTTTCTCCAACAAAGCGATACCATACGTAGAGCGAATCTACGTAATCACTGGTTGCACTGACCACGACCACAAGGAACTGTCTGTAAAGTTCGATGAGTCCACCATACTTTACTCGGTCCAAATAGTAATCACGAAACTCCGGTCCGAAACCAACGTGACCAATTTGATCGAACTAAAATATTTGGTGATTGCAGATTTACATCTGTTTATTAGGACCATTAACATTAGCTTCAATATTGATCGTATTCTCTGAACTACATACTTTTTCCTATTCATTCTTACTCAATATTATTATCCGACGACATAACCGAAATCTAGTTTCAACATAAAACTGACCATTCTAAAGAATACTGTAATGTTTAACATTGCTCTTCTCATATGCAAGCTAAAGTTAAAGGTAAAGGATAAAGGGTAAAGTCTTCGCCGTTGATCAATCCCTTTGTGGGATGCGGCACGCATTCTACTTCCATTCAGAATCGTAGTGGCTTATTGAATGCGATGTGGCCTATACAATGACTTGCGGTGGCCAGCCGATGTACAAGTCAGTGTTTTATCCGGATAGCAATTTACCGTCTCCGGGGGTTGAAGGCTTGGTTGGCGGGAGTCGAACTGAGCCTTGAACCCGGCGAGTGGTAAGCGCGCCACTTGTCACTACACCACCTCCGCGGCGCAAGTAAAAGTAGAGACAGATAAGCAAGGACACAGCGGAAAGATAGCAATATATGATGCACAGGACTTATTTTCGCAGAAAACTCAGAAGTGAAAATGACCAGCAAAAGTGATATTAGAGAGTCGATCAATCTACGACGAGTTATCCGCTCACCGAGCCCTTGAGTCCGCTCCTTGGCCGACCTGCAATGGGGCTTCAAGGCCGCAACTAGGAATCATAGACTTTTATCGCACTTCAAAACGCGAGTGTGCTGACAACATTCGTGTAAGCAGCCAGTTGGGCTTCAGCTGCAAGAAGAGACTGCTCGGTCCAGAGGAGCCAATCTGGATAAGCACAATCTCGATTTGAACTTGCTCAGACATAAGTTGATGTCTTCTCGGAAGAACTGAGTTCGTCTAGTGCGCTCGACGATACTTATAGATCGAAGAAGAGAGAAACGAGTTCTGTACTCACAAAGAGCACTCATACGCTACGCTTTCAATGCCGATTTATTCACTGACTTAGTAGCATTGTCAGACCTGCGGATGGACACTGAGAGAAGCATCGACGCTGACTACGACGAACTAGTAGAAAAAATAGTTCTTGCTGTCAAAGCTTCCAGCACTGCAGCAGAACGCGGCAGAAGACAACGTGTGTCAGCGGAAGCAATCCAGATGATGCAGAAGAGAGCACGTATGAAGGCCGAAGGAAGGGTCCAGAGCGAGGAATATAAGACTCTCAGTAAAACTATAAGGGAGAGGATAAAAGAAGACTGTGAGG